TGTTTACGCGCGCGATTCTATTCGGACGTTACAATCACTCCCCATAACGTGGATATATTTTTACCGATTTCTGGAATATTGTAGTATATATTATACCACCCCTCAACTATAACTTTTATTGGCTGCTACCCTAGCTTCCAATTCTGCAGATATATCACCGCCAGTTATGAAGTTTGGATCCACAATTTCGCAGGGCTCATCCTCCTCATTGTAACTTTAGAACAACGTCACTTAAAAGAAAACTAGAGAAGTTCATTATTTTGTGGTTTACATATCAGGATCAATTTTCAGGATAATTGGTTTCTATATACTCCGTATTTTACGGTTTAATACTTCGTAAATTTATTGTTTATATATAAGCAATAAAATTCCATACCGTATCCATAGTAGTACTTAATCTGTATATCCACTAGATATACTATTTGTCCACATACCTGTTTTCGATTTAGCCCAGCTTTAACTTTAAACCTTACTGATCAGCGTTCAGCAATGGCACAACGTAATAAACGAGTACTTTCCATACGTAAGAATAGTTTGGGTCACTCAGCTAAGAAGATACGTACAACACTGTGCGTTCCAAGTAGCCTCAACAATGTACCCGAAGTCATTGTGCTCGATTTGTTATCAGAGGTATATGCAGCTGCTGAACAAAATAAGTTGGACTTTATTTCTCTAGGAAGCTCTGTGAAGGAATTAAATGAGAATATAAATACCATTAGGCCGTTACTGCTTCTTTGTAACCCAACTCATGATACTAATGCGGAAAGTCTACTGAAGTCTGAGCGTATGTTAGACTTTATAGCCAATGAAGTGGCTAGACGAATCATGTCCTCGTACAACGTTCTCGCTTACAATCTGCCTGATCGGACGCCTCTGGAGAAAATCAAAGTGACATGTCTCCAAGCGTGTGGCTTGCCATCAGCGAATTGCCACCTAATCAAACTCAGGAAAAAATCAGGAAAGTATACTTGCCCTGTGCTGTTTAAATTCAGTAGTCCCAATTATGCTAGGAAAATTCAGTCGTCAAATAAGTTAATTAGTTCATCTTCACCTTATGGTAACTGTCAACTTGCTCATAACCTAACGCCATGTCAAAGACGTAGCCGCGCGAGTGTGCCAAGTGTCGCAAAAACATACGTAACTGCAGAATGTCCCACAAAAGACTCTCTCGCCTTACATTTAAGTAAACCTAATGCTACAGACACGGATGAAAATGAAATACTCTTAAATAATAAAGCTTTACCTAGTAAACTCAACAGTGAAGCAACTATGGTCATGGACTTAGATTCATCTTCAGAGTTATGCTCGCTAGACACATCACCATCAGCCGCTAATACTACTACCAATGTTACGCAAAAGGCTAAGCTCGAGCATGTAGTATTAAATATAACCTCCTCGAGTAGCACTCAGACTAGTGAGCATACAAAACGAAGTAAAATAACCCTGCCATCCAGAATACCTGTACTCAAACCCGTCACTGATAGGTTCCTCGGCAGCAAACCAAATAACACTAACTTAAGCAACTCCAATCATACCACTAACCCAGGAAAGCAGAATAAGTCTTCATACCGCCATAAATATAACGTCAATGAAAAGAGGTAACCGGCCGATTCATCCAACATCGAACAAATCTTCGTCCGATAGACACAACAGACGCTATATATCTGGGCACCCTAAAAATAAGTCGAAACCCGACGGGCAGGCATACACCTACCCCGACACAACTCTCCAATCTATGGCTAAAATTGAAAAAGGTTTCATCTAGGGACCTCTACAGCAAGGGACAAGTGGGTTAGGCTTGTTTCCTAAAGGTGGCCTTCGGACTCACCACATCCCCGAAAACCACCGGATACAGACCACCCAAGACCATCGATGGACTAATATTTACGAAAATAACTTAAACACACAAAATATTAGCCATA